CCACTCGCCCTTGGAAAATTGGAATTGGTTATCTTAAACATTTAAGTTCCATTCATGTCACATTGATTTTTTCCAGCCTGTCTGTATATTAAACAGATTGAATCAAACAGCGGTGACAGTGTTCACAATTAAAACTGACCAATATTATAAAAATATTAAGAGTCTGAATAAAGAGCATATCGTATCTATGATTATAGAACTATACGTAAAGGTTGGAATTATCAATATTTTCATAACATCAATTATAAACCTATTCAAGCACGTCTCAATTTCATTATATACACAGCAATTTAGCAGACCTAGAAGTTACCTTAACATTTCTTTTGTATTATTTTATTAATTACGTTCAGATTACACTTAGTTTGTAGGGCATAGGTATGCTATAGCTATCAAGACAAAAACAGAAGAAGAATTCATAACCAGAAAAAACCGGTGACGAGACGAATAAAGCAAAAAGAATGAAATGAACTTGTAAGTATCTACGATGCAAACTAGCTGAATAATGAAAACAAAAGAAAAGAAACCACAAAAACAGGCAACAAAGGAAGAAAATTAGAATGCAGAAAATATAAAGTCGGTTAAAGAGCGGAATCGCTCTTTACATTATATGGATTTTAAAGAAGGCCTGGCAATAGTCCGAATTATCTTCAATTGATTGGTCCTCTTTCATCGAACAAAAAAAAAATTTGTTATAGGCAAGCATTTTACTAAAAACCAGACGACTTGTTCGTCCCGTCTATTGGTATCATAAAAAAAAATTACCTTTTGGTACATGACGAAACTCGTATAGTCGAAATCGATGAATCGATGGGGCAGAAAACTGCAAGTAACGAGTTAACTCTTTAGCTGTTGCTAGCTGAAGCTTCGTGCGAACAGGTCGTGTCTACAACATCACAATAATAATTATGATGTATGTTTCCCGTAGATAAAAAATCCGCCTTGGATTACATCCATACGTTACGACGTGTATAATCCTGTATAATAATACCAATAAATAGGCAATTTTGTATTGGTGTTCGAACCTCCATATCTTAGCGTCTTGATACTAGAGCAGAATTAGCATTTGGCACGGGTCTTCCCATAGTCCTTTCAACCCAAAAGTGGCAACGGTAATTAATAAACGATCGTAGGTACTTGCGTGTTATGAAACACCACCCCTGAGTTTGGAAAGGATACCGAGTTTCACTTACGCAGTTTTGACTATGGAGTGTATACTGTTCATACCAAGAAGCTCAAAGAAGTTTTCTATCGGTATGAATCAAGATCGGATTCCGCTGAGCGCTAAATAAACTCGCTTGCTATTTGATTGTTCTGAGTTTGATTAAACTAGTATTGATTTAAATCTTTTCCATCCTCTAAGATTCAAATATACATAGACATGATAGCGAGATTCAGATGTTCCACCATGACACATTACTTATTAGTGACATACGTAACAGATACGTCACTCTCATACAAAATTGAAAATACCTACACTCTAATAGCCTACTAAATCTAATGACACCAGGCACCTACTACGAGAAAAAAGGAACCTAAGCACGAACTCAGAGAGGTGAAATTAACGTTGCGCGCCGCACCGTGTGCAGTTGTGCCGAAACCGAATGGGGTTGTACAAGGATTGTAATGTAAATGAAAGACTTGTCTGAGCGCTTGCACTGTCGGCGATATACACGTAAGCACTTATCGCGTAACCTTGAGCGAGTGACGGAGCCCTGACCGTGGTATCTTGACAAAACCGAATTTCTGCCATCTTAGTCTTTACATTTGAAAAATACCTGTCTACAATAGCGCTACAGTCTGCCTATACATATAAGCAGACCGTTTATATGTAGCATATAAATATTTGCAGATAAATCCCTGAGGAGCGCCGGCGTCAATAGTCCGCTGATCGAGTGTGTAACCCTCGTTCAAAAAGTTTGAAATCTAGATTCAAAGGCCAACTGGGATTCCGTACGAAGAAAGCTTACGTATAAGGCTTCCTTAAGTGCCTGTCTAATGTCTTGAAGATATCAAGAGCCTTGCCTTATTGCACTTGGCCTCACTGTAGTATGCCGTCCTCTGAGGAGATCGTTATCCATATCCATAAGTATGCTCGGTAGTCTTGCAGAGTACGGGGATGGGATAAAAAACATCGCTCTATGACACGAAACATTGAGATACATACATAAATTAAAAAATAAATTAATTTGTATAAATTGTAAAGGGCCCAAAACGT